TGTGTCCACTGCAGTGCTGTAAAAGGACGGGAACAGAGTGTGCTGCGCACTGGTGTGTCCCCTGCAGTGCTGTCAAAGGACGGGAACAGAGTGTGCTGCGCACTGGTGTGTCCCCTGCAGTGCTGTAAAAGGATGGGAACAGAGTGTGCTGCGCACTGGTGTGTCCGCTGCAGTGCTGTAAAAGGACGGGAACAGAGTGTGCTGCGCACTGGTGTGTCCGCTGCTCATTCTGTGCTCATTGTTTACATTTTGCCTGTTTAGCAGGTGCATTTTTGTTCAAAGCAACACACGTGAGGCAAATAAACAGCAGACCGCAGATGTTACGGATCTCGCCATTCGGCGGGTATCTGTGCTATGGGCCCCAGTCGGACATGTTTAAGGTGCAAACCACACGCTGACCCAGATGCAGCTGCAGACGGACGGGCTGTCGGATCAGGCGAGCACACATGCACGTACTCGGGGGGGGGGGGGGGGGGGGGGCACCGCATAGAATCGTTAAGGCGCTGGCTGGGCGAGTGCTGAGGACAGGGTCCGTTAAATAAAAGATGAGTGTGCGTGCGCGTGTGCACATGTGCTTGGGGGGGCACGTGCAGGCTAACAATAACTGCACATTTTCACTGTATGCAGCATCTGCTAACCTGCCACCCGACTTCTTTCCCAGGGTTTGAGGGGGGTATCCCTAAACTGACAGGTCCCCCACATAAGAGGGGGGTATCTTCCAGCGTTTGCAGGCGATCACTGTCTGTACTTTTTCTTACGGGTGACACTCGCCAGAGAGCTCCATGTGCTGGCCTCTGATTGGCCGCTTGTGAAAAAGATGATGTCATCCCTACCACAGGGCTAACAAGGAAATGGAATTCAGTTCTCATTATTGTGCCGGTGCTGGCCAATAGGGGTGCAGGGCCACACAGATGTGTGTTTGGAAGCTATGCCTTTGTCTTTTTAGTGAGCTTTAGTGATCTGTGAGCTTTAGCCCTTCTTAATAGTGCATATTAATTCTGCTGTATTGAGTTTTGGAATAACGCCAGGCTGCTGATCATGTGAAATGTGAATCGCACATTAATATTGCCATCAGGACATGTTTTCAGATGAGCTCGACCCAGTGTGAGTGGGGATGCCTCGCTCTTGGATTCAGGATCATTATGTTGGAATAATTGGGGGTTACAGATCCCACTGGGGGCCACAACGTCTCTGCTGTGAGAAGCGGCATACATTAGCATATTTATCTATCTATGCGCAGACCTGTCTCTGCCGTGTGCCTGGTGACCAGGCATGCGTGCGCAAGCTGCATTATTTCTGCCACTGTCGCTGTTGTTTTGGAGATGCGGCTGTTCCTATGCGCGCAGCTGGATCAATAGCGGCACCGTCTCCGCTCCAGCCAGACGGCCAGCACACACCCCCCACCCGTCCTGCATAGGTGATGTCATCTTTCTGCTTCTCTCTCTCTCTCTCTCTCTTTCTCTCTCTCTCCTCCCACTCTCTGGCTCCTTATTAGAGGTTCCTCCTCACAGCGGAGCTCCTAGTCCGCGGGTGGCTATCCTGAGGGGGGAGCAGTCGAGAGCGCAGCCAAAAGGGGGGGTGCCGGTGAGCATCGGGCGACACGATCGAAGTACTCTACTCCCGGTGATGGACAGGGGCCCCTGCGTGCCGGCGTAGGGCGAGAGACGGTGCCTGCGCGGAGGCTGTGGGGTTGGGGGCGTGGGTGGGTGGGGGGTGGGGGGGGGTTTCCCCTGGTGCTTTCTTTCCCTCCCTCCGTGGTGGATCCAGGGGTCTCCCCCAGAGTTCACCGCTTATCTGAGATGTTTGGAGAGGGACTCTGCTCAGGCACTCCTGAAGGCTGCCGGACCGGCTCCCTTTGCACCGAGGGCTTTCCTGGATGCGGCCATACTGAACTTTGGCAAGTTCGGTAGGGCTGAACTGAGTCCCTTCCGAGCGAAAGGGCGCGCGGAGCAGCAACTGCCAGGGAGCGGAGATTCAGGGCTCCTGTGACTCTTCTGCCGCTCCTCCTCCTCGCCTTCATCTTCCGCTTTACCTGTGAGAGTGGCAGCTCACCCGGCTACGTGTGTGTATTCCCCCCGCCCCCCCCCCAATCCGTGTGTGGACTTCTAGAGAGCTACTCTGCTGCTGATCCGCCTTGCCGTGACCCCGGAAGTGTCCAGTCGGCCTTGGGCGCCTTTCCCTTTTCTGCTCGGGAAAGCAACGAAAACTTTCCCCTTCTCTCGGGGAAATGGCTTTCCTCGTCCGTTGCTATGCCAACTGCCTCCAGCCGTGGTCCTCCAAAGTAAGTGATCCTGTAACCTGTAACCCTCCCTTTCACCTCCATCCCCTTGCTCCATCCACATTGGGTGTCCACATCACGTCTGTGCGTTTGCCGCGCGGAAGACGCGGTATCTCCGGCGGCTGCCCGTTTTCCCGCATTTCATTTTACTGCCATCTTGTAACTGTGCAAAATAGATGCTTCTGTTTGAGGGGGAGTTTGATATGCAAATGTGTCTTGGGTCGCTGTTCGCCGGATCTTGAGATCGGAACCGAGCCTCGGGTCCCGTTCGGGGGAAAATGCCCACCGCTTCGGGTTCCCCTCCTGGGCTCGACTGGCTGTTGATTGGCTGTACTGTCACCATCCTGGCTGAGCTCGCCGCAGCCCCAAACCGCTCCGGCGTCCCAACAGACAGTCTGCTCCCTCACCCTGACCTTGTCAGCCACTCTTGTTGCCCCCCCGCCCCCCCACTTCTTCTTCGCTAATTAAAGTGCTCGAGTTCTGATGGGATCACAGCTGAGGCTCAGGAGCAGAGGACAACCCCAGAGACATCACTCTCATCTTCAGTGACCCCTCCCCCATCCCTGAAGATCCCCCCCCCCCCCCATTTAATCTATCACCTCCTGCCAGATAGAGTGCGTCTTGCTTGGGGCTGCTGTTCTGGAGATGCTAAACTCTCCCACGCTAAACGTCCATCTCGCAGCGTGAGAGATTAGCCAGTTGCCCTGGGAAATGATGTCTTTTTGTTGATTTTTTTTTTTTTCTTTCCAAGATGTTTGTCTTAATTGTGTCCTAATTGACTGTTAGAGTGTAATGAGCTTTGAGGTAATGACGTGAGTCTGGTTAACGGGATGTGTGTCGACGTCCAGGTCATATAGAACTTTCCGGATGGATTATAAATGTTCTTTGTATTGTTTTAGACTTTGTGACAGACCGTCTAGGAGCGACTTGAAGATGGGAAAGTTAGAATAATTCCAAGGGCCCCTGAGTGACAGAACCACTAAAAATTTTGGTACATTATTGCATTGGTCTGGGTTGGGGTCCAAAATCTCTATTGACATCCCTAACTCCGTCTAAAACTTATGATTTCTGAATTTGATTTTAAAAAAAAATCTTAAATATTTGTCATTTGTCGGAATCAGTGAATTATTAATATACATAATATACATCTCTAACAAAAATTCTCCAACCCTTAAAATCTGTGCCCAAAGCAATGCGAGTTTATTATTAAACTTTAACATTATTACAGGAAACTATGGTGTAGAAAGCTATCAACTGTAACGGTTAATCCTTGACGATTGACTTGGACTTCGACAGATTGCCGAGTGTGTTCGCCACACTTGATGTGTGTAGAGTTTCATTTCATTTCCGTCTCTGACATTCTGGGCTAATTTAAGGAGGGGCTTGCCTGGCCTGTATTGTCGCCAAAACTGTAATCAATACGAATGGGTTGTAATCGGGTCGGGATGCTTGAGGTGCTCACAGCAGCCGCTGTTGCCTTTGTGTGGCAGGAGGGCTTCCTGCTGGTATGGTCATGTTTCAGAGCGGCCTGCGTGGACGGGGGCTGCTGGTAAATACCGGCGTGCGGTGTTTGGATCTTCACTGTAGTAGCAGGATTTGCCTTTAACCTTTTCGAAAACCCAGGGGGAGGGAATGGGACACGCGGTCCATAGTAATGCCCCCCTCTGTGTTTGAATTTTCACAAAGTGGGCTTCGGTAACCGTGTCGGCTCAGAGATCTAAATCCCATGAAATTGATTTATAAATAATTCAGGCAGCAATATTTAGGGTGCCATGCACCGTTCCCTTTGTGTGACGAAACTCAGCCTTGTATGTGTGTTTGTTTTCTGGTGGTCAGCCGTAAGAGCAGGTGTGAACTGTCAGTGTCGTTAACGTCCGGTCTGGGGTCTATAAGCATTTCCTTTCGCCCCTGTTTACTCAGGAAATTACCCAGCGTGATCACCCGAACTGGTTCACCAGGAACTGGCATCGACTTAGTCTCCTGACTGGCAGAAACGCACGTTCCTTTGCGGGTATCTCTCACGGCCGAAGCGTGCCCAATCCTGCAGCCTCAGCAATCGATGGCGTTGCAGGACTTCTGACTTTGATGGTGGGCCTTTGGATACTTATGGAGCACCACCTGCAGTGGAACTGGATCCAGTGGCAAGGGGTAGGGGGAGTCCTGAGGGTGGGGCGGGTTTGACGACGGGGTGAGTAGGGGACAGATGACACCATATTGACTAATTGTCGCGTTGGCAATCCAGGGCGGGGAGGACATTGGATGAGTAATGGCTGAGGAGATGATTCTGGGAGTGTTCGCCCCGAGCAAACCACATTAGTCATGTGTTAGTCCAGTTCTACCCGCAGCTGGGATGTGCCACTCACCAGTCTGACTGTAACTGGCGGACGTGAACTCCAGTCAGAACGTTCACTGGCTGAAAGGAACGGCTGGTTTCTGCCCGCTGACTTTATATGCGGGTAACAGTCCTGATTCAGACCCCATTACTAACTGTTGTTGTGAAGATAAAAATAATTTATCACGAGACCCCGATCCGCATGTGGAAAATGCAGCCGCGATGTATGTGGAAGATGTGCAGTGTTTATTCTCTACAAAGACATCTTTTTTTTTTATCAGCCTGGATGCATGCTATCGATCCCCATCACCTTTGCCTCTGGGTGATGACACCATGCCTCCTCTACTTCCTCAAGCTTTTAGCCATCGCTGCGAGATAATACCGAGATGCTAACAGCAGAAGCTAAATAATGCATTGCACGTTTTGTTTTTCCTGCTGTGTTTGTTTGTTTTTGTTTTGTTGCTTGAATCATAGCCAGCATCCAGTGCAGTTTAGCACATCCCATGAAGTGCGTCCCCTTCCACGTGTGCTTTGCACAGCTTCCAGTGTAAATCACTGAGCTGGTGCACAAACCGACGTGCGTGCACTCTGTCACTTTTTTATGTGGTGTCACAGGTCCTGTATTTATTGACAGGAAGCAGCTCAGACTCTGTGGCGGGGGGGGGGACTGCTGGATTAAAGTAAGCGCACTGATATCTGTTACTTATTGTCATCAGTGATTCCAGCTCAAGTGCCACCGAGTGACTACGGGACAGAAATACGACTGGGCTGTTCATTAGATGGCGAATTCAAACTTTTTTTGTTTTTTTTTTTCGGTGCGGCACGAGGAAAATAGGATGAATAGAGTGTGACTGAACGTTTTAGATACCAGACAGGCATTGATTTGCCTGTTTCTATCACTAACTCAAGAGATGACCCTGGTGGCTTTAGGGCCACTGTTCTCCCGGTTCCACATTAAAACAGTGGGAAGCTGGTTTGGTGCCCTGGCCAGCTGTTTGGGTTTCCCGCACAGACTGGGATGTGTTGTTCCCTCAGTTTACGTCCTCAGATCCTCACGCACCGGATCCTTTGTTGTAGGTCCCCCCTATTCAAATCTGGCCCTCGATTCCAAATCCAGGCCTTGTTTTCAAGTCTCCCAGGTACTTAGCTTAATAATTTCTGGCTCTAATTGGCCAGAGGCTTCACAACTGGCTCTCAGGTAAAGGAAAGCCGGAAAAACAGCAGTGCTCGGCCCTTGAGGACCGTGATTTGAATAGCCCTGGTGTAGGCTATTCATAAATGTCGCATTCTTTCACTCTGTGCCCTTTCCTGGCCGGGCAATTCTGAGGGGCTGTAGCTGGCTCCTCCCACCTCCCTTGTTTATTGAATCGTTTTGATTTCGAAAGTCGCCCTTGGCTGCCAGGCAGGCCCCTACCGGCCCCACTCCGGTCCTCCCCGCATCTGCCATATTGCCATGGTTTCGACCACATCGCAGACGTGGAGCTTGGTGCAGTTTGCCGCCTGTTTCACTTAACAAATAAGTGTGAGGAAGCTGAATTGAGGAGGTGGAGCCTAAATAATCTCTACATGGATTCCAATATCTCTTTTTAACTTTGATCGTAAGTGACATACATTGGGAAAGGAGGCTCAGCCAGTCCCTGGAACGACTAAGGGTCATCTTTAGTAGTAAAATCACTAAATTTGATCTGGCGACCTACTGATCACTGGCTCAGTGTCCTAACCCACTGAGCTACACACTGCCCCCTGTTGGCCGCTCGCAGGTACTGAAGGTAGATGTGATTTTGGGTTTGTAAGCGCAGTTCAGGCCGCAGTGACCAGGGTTAGCATGGACAGCGATGCTCCTTCGGTGGGTTCCAGGTGAAATAAGCCTCTGGGTTTGCCAGAAACCCTGCAGTGCGCCTAGGAACCGTCTGGTCACCAAAAATATAAAGAGAGGAGGAGAAAAGAGGAAGCATTCAGGAATCATCTGTGAGGTCTCTGGGAGGGGTGGGCATCAGTGAGAGACTGGTAGGGGTGGGCATCTGTGAGGTCTCTGGGAGGGGTGGGCATCAGTGAGTGACTGGTAGGGGTGTGAGTGAGCGAGCGGCATGTAGTGCCCTGCAGGTCGGGCTTAAACGAGCGTTTAGCCCCCCTGTTGAGCATCCAGCCCCACAGCCAGACATGGTGCCAGGTGGTTCCCCTCCCCCCCCACGTGTGCCACTCCCATCCGAGGCCTGCCAGGAAACTCGAGTGCCGCGAGAGCTTTCACGTTTGTTGTGCTTTTATCATCAACACCGTCTGTGCCCCCCCCCCCGATCCTAATGGTATTTCCCTGAATCGCTGAGAGGTGCAGAGATGGAGACATTCCAAAGCCTCTTCTGACCCGCACTGCCGTTTGTCTCCTCTGGGGTGTGTAACTACTCTGCAGACTCCTAGGTGTCCTGTCACAAGTGTGCAGGAACGTCACACGTTCTGGTGACAAATGAGCAGGTGGGGGACGTCAGATGGAATTTGCTTGTGATGCGTGGAACTATAGGCTGCTTAACCAAATTAATGTAGCTGTTTTTTTTTCTGTTTGCTTTTTTTTTTTTTTTGCATTTTTCTGCCCAGTATTAAACTGACAAAGGAACGTATTATTTGTGTCCATGCTGGGATTGACGCACGTTTGCCGGTCTCTGTTTGGAGCGACTCT